TTAAATTATTTTAAAAAATTTAAATAAATTTTTATTTTTTTATTACGTTCAATATTATTAATCAAAATGTTATTTGTTATTTTATATAGTGTTAAGATATATTGATGTGATATAAAAATATAATTATGTGATATTTTTTAAATTTTATTTGATTTAATATTATGTACATATACATATTCTTTTATTAAATACTTAAATCAAGTTTTTTTTTTATGAAAGAAATTGTATCAAGTTAGTTATACTTAGATCAATTATTAGTAGACTGTTACAAATAGTATTATTCTTTTTATTTATTTGGAAAATAGTTTTTTGTTTTTGGCATAATTGAATTGTGATGTAACATTGGGCCCTTACAAATATTATTTTTTTTTCCAAAAATAATTGCATTTCCTTTGGAATTATTGAAGAGGCTCATGCTTGAGTTTGAGATTTTAATTTGTTCTAATTAATTAAAAAGAGCTGATTAATTAACTAACCAAATCCTCAATAATTGGCGTCTCAGTTTCAAAATTCAAACTTAAAACTTTAATTTATCATTAGATATTTTTGCTTTTGAATTTTAAGTTAGCTAAGTATTAAACCAAAAAAAAAAAAGAAAAATAAATGTATTTTCAAGGGGATAAAATCATGATAAGTAAAGACAAGTGGAAAGTGTAGGATAAGGGAGAAGGTCCAAACACAAATGTGAGGAAACGGGAAAAACGTAAAAGAGGCGTATGTTACGGCAGTTAATGTGGCAACACTAATCATTGCGCAGCAAACCATCAAAAACGGTTTTAATTCAAGAAGATTATGCTGTTAAATCAGATTATATTGCGGTAATCCCATGTGTTCCCCCAACTAAGAACAATTCCCAACTACTTTTATTAGGTAAGTTGCAGTTATGGATCAGTATATGCATCCCACACTGTTTACTTATTTTCTACTATCAATTTTGGAATCACACACATAATAATAATAATAACAAAAATAATTGATAATAAATCCCTTTTAATATTTTATCAGTATATGTTAGATATATGAGGCTTTATCATAATAAAAATAGATTTACAATATACAACGACGGAATTAAGGTGGTGACGGAGGTCATCCCTCAGTTTTTAATTTTGTATTATTCTTTATCTACTTTTTGTACAAAATCCTTAAAAGGTCAATATTTATGATAAGAAAAACGTTTATTGTGGAGACAAATGATGTTACCAATTCGATGGAACTTACGGTGGACAAGTCTCATACACGTGAAATTGAACTTAGGAGAGAATATGTTAACTTGATAGAAAACATGTGAATAGGTTAAGGAACAATCGTCCTTTGGGTATTGCACGTTGGATGAAGACGCCACGGTGCAAATTGGCTCAGCTTTGGCCTTTGAGAACAACTTTATTTGTTTATTTATTTTTTTCTCATTAAAAAACAATGAAAAGTGCGTCATTATATAAAACGATTTCACCAACCAAATTAAGGTTAAAATCAATTGATTAAGGGCTTAATCAAGCAAATTCGTCGACCCCACCCCCCCAACTACGATGTGATGCCTTAATCAAGACAAATAAATTGGACAATCGTCTTAGGCCACCAAAATGATTATATGCTAAGGTGATGGAAAAAAAAAATGTCTTTGATTCAAATTAATTAAACTTAATTATCGTAATTAAAGTAGTGATCAAACTTTGACAAGTCAGAAGGAAATACGTGACCAACCTAATCTCACTTGACTCAAAAGCCTCCATTTTTTTCATTTGACTTAAAAGAAAAAAAACAATCTTATTTGTCTTCTCAAATCGATGATGATTTGTGGGTATTCAATATATGTTTTTTTTTATTATTATTTTCTAGAGGAACAAAAGACTTGCACATGGCGAAAAGAGGGTTAACAGAGCAAGAAAAAGTCTTGATACTATGAATGACAGTGTTTATTTTCAATTATCTATTCTAAGTATTTAGAATGTTCAAAGAGTTCTCTTCCTAGTCTTCTTATATTTGAAAAGGAAATTTGGGTATACATGATCAAATTTCTTCACTCGAACGCGTTTATATATTTGGTGAATAAATTTATTATCCCATTTTTACAAGAAAGATTCAATTCTTCAAGTTGAATCTTGGTCCTGCGATCAACATTTTCTTAGCATATGTAGTTGAATTAATTTAAAGAATTTTGGAGAATTAGGTTTGAAAATAATCGACAACTTTAAAGAGAGTTAGGAAATTGTAATAATGGGTAGAGTTTAATATCTACAATAACAAAATCTAATTATGATACACAGGGCACGTAAAGAAAAGGATTTGTATAATTATTTATAAGATAAGGTTTTTTTTTTAATAAAACCTTTCTTTTAATGAAATTAGGGTTTCAAGAGGTGGTAGAATAGTCTTGCATTTGATATAATTTTATATCAAGCACTAAGTAGGATATCAAAGTAAAGGATTAAAAAAAAAAGGAAAGAAAGAAAGGAGATGATGAGGCACCTTTGGGACTTGGTCATGGCTTCTGACAAGTTGGCCACCACAAGTTAGGAAAGAAAAAAGGCTTTAGATAAAAACAAAAAGAGTGGAAGCTTCGAATATTCAGTTGATCCGGATATCAAAGGCTTTGGCAACATGAACTCAGAGTTATGACTACAAGCTTTTATCAGACACATAAATAATAAGTTCTTGGAATACTAGTACAACAAATTTATAAAATAAAATTTTTTTAGCAGAGCAGAGAATATAAGCTGTTTACAGCTTATCATCCATGAGAATGGACAACTAAGTCCATACTATATTTTATTAATATTTCTGAAGATACGGTCATATATATAAATATTATTATGACACAACGCGGTCTTCATCATTATTTCTTTACTTTATGTTATATGTATAATTCTTGTATTTTTAATAAGGAAAATTGTAGTCTAAGATCAGTGAAGTGTAGTACAAGGCAAAGGGTAAATAAATAAAAGTCCAAGAATAATGTTTGGACCAACCATTTGGACGCGTGCTAGCACAGTTGCAAAGGAAGGAATGCATGCCCTTGATTTACGGTGAAAGGCACATGCACGGGAATGGGAAGCGCTGGAGACACGCTCACCTTTCTTAATCATCTTCAATATCTTTGAATTATATCAGTTTCGAGAAACCAAAGGTATTTTTGCTGTTTCGGGCTTTGGGAAATGAGTCCTTTACCATTATTATTATTATTATTATTTCTTCTTTTTCCGATTAAAAGGGCAATAGAAAACATGTGAATGCAAGTTATGAGCCACATGGGTTTCAGCTAACTGTTACACTGTTGGGATCTTAACTTCATAGCTTGGGGGTTCTTTCTTTCTATTTTTTTTTCTAAATTCCCCATGTTAAGGCCTCACATGAAGCAATAATTACTACTAGATAACCATTTATCCATAAACAAATATGTCGTTTAAGGACATGGTGGAGGGAAATGATTTATAATCTTTCCATGTTTAAGATGCCATGGGTTGATACCTTAGACTTGGACTTCCATCAAATGGCAGGGCCTAACAATTTGCCCATTCCTCATGTTCTCTTTAGGAAAGAGACATTAATTTGTGAAATGAATTAAAAAAGCATGATGGACATGAGAACTCAACCAAAATTGTGATTATAGCATTACCAAATGCTGACTTACAACCCTAAACTGAATTCTCAAAATTTAATGGCAAAAACACTGCATTCTCAAAATTTCTGAACTTCATATTTCAGTTGACGGGCAATCGCTTTTTGCTTTTCTTGGTTTTGTGCTTTAATGACTTCGTTTGCTTCTTGTATTCTTCATATAACTGTAAGGATGACTTTGTTCGGTCCAACTCGCCCCTTACTCTCTCATTCTCCTTAATGTCCCGAAGAAGCATGAAATGCCTGCTCAGTTTTTTGCTCACCTCGTTTTCATCAATTGAAGTAGGGTTGATAGAAGCTAATGTTGAAGGCCCGGTGCCTCTTTTCCTCTTGTTATTTGATTTCTGAGTGCTGAATTTTGGGTTGAATGACTCCTGCTCTAGTGACAAGTTTATAAAAGCTTGTTGAGGAGAGATGGAGAGATAAACCTGGTTCTGAGCAGTGTTCATGCCAGAGATGCTTGAAGCCAGTGTTGATATGGTTGGGTGATAGTGTTTAGATAGAAGATCCAGTTCCCAAAGGACGGAAGCCAGTGCACCACTTAAGTTGGGGTCTGAGGCATGTGGTTGGTATTTCTGCAAATCAAATAATTGTTTCGCATTGGTCACAATTCAAGACAAAAACCCAACAATTCCATTCATGTCTGTTACTAAAACAACCAAAATTCATAAACCAGTGCAGTAATTGTGATACCAATGAACAAACTGCCAGATTTTGATACAAAAATTATAAAAAAAGCAACTAATACCATAGTTATTTAACAATTTTATACATCATAACAAAACACATACCTCAAACCAGTTGGGTTAATAAGATGCTATGGGTTGGCATAATATTGTTTAGAAACTACAAATTTCATGCTTCATTATTATTCCCAATCTGTATTCCTCCCTCCTACTTCAGGTCATTCTTTCATAATGCATCACAAAACTTAGAAGATTTTCCAAATAAAGATGAATCCAGCATAAATATTGGTCAGAGAGATAATTGATGACATTGTAAGACAAATGATCGAAGTATTAGCCAAGAACGAAGGTGGACATGTTAATAGAATACTATATGCAACAGGTGTCTCAACAAAATGCATATAAGAAAATTATTCTATCATTTGAAGAGTAGCAAAATAGCTTACTGCAATGGATCCTGACACAGAGCCACCACCAGCATCATTTTCCAATAGATTTCGGCACTTTACATTTTTCTGAAGAAGATTCTTTAACGTTACCAAGGCTGCAAAGTTAAAAATAAAAAAAAAAAAACAGAAAAAATGCCTTCAAATACCATAATGAAGCACTTGAAATCAAATAGGCAAGCAATTCAAATAATTAACACACCAGCCATGGATTCTGCAGATCCGAAGCACAAGGAAAATGTGGCTAAGCGTTTTACAAATGCAGCTGCCTTTTGCATGTCATGTTGCCTATCATCACATAGCATGATCTTCAGAGCCTCAGCTAGCACTTCACCTTGATCTCTGCTGAATAGACATGTTAAGCAAAAAATTTACTAGAGCTAAGCTGTTATTCATGCCAGATTACTACTGAAGTTGCAAGAATGCTGAAATCGACATTACTACTGAATAAAGTTACAATGAGCCAGCTACAGGAGGCAAAACTGAGAAGTATCAAGTTACTATTAAGTCTCTCTCTAATGAGTGGATAACAGGAAAAATCTGCATCAGTCCATCCTCACATGAGGAGAATATGGAAGGAAAAATATTAAGAAGGAAAGAGAGAATATCCTCTTGAAGATGCAGATGACTGCACAGGTGCACTGATTTGCTAATTTATTTAATCAGAGAAAATTAATTACCATAACTTTGGAAGGGAAGAATTATGATCACCTTAAAAGAGGCTTGAAACAAGCAAGTCTCAACTGGCTTTTGCTGCTTAAGCAGCAGGAAAAGACTTCATCTAAGTTAACATTTACTCTTAAGCTATGCTTTCAATTAGATAAATATAAAGGACAGCCAATACACTACTAACCTTCCAGGCCTGTACTCAAGTACAAGATTGTAAAGCTGGACAAAAAAGTCTTGTAAATCAACATTCAGAGCATCAAGATTGCTCCTCATAACTTTAAAAGCAACAATGCAGCAGCGAAGGCACTCAGACACAGTCATATTTTGAACTTTCTGTGCAGAACCATCTGAGTTGCTACCTCCAGAGGCAAGCCTTTTCAAATAATTCACAAGGTCTCCAATGTAATCCAAGTCAATCAGGTGAGAAAACTTTCCTAAACCACTCAAACATGGAGCTAGAAGTGGATGTGCCCCAGATGCACCAGGAGCTGTACTACCATTTGCTTCAGAACTGGAAAGACAATAACATAAAAAATTAACTGGTCTGCTAGTGAATTTAAAATATCATAATACAAAGACAAGACAGGTTGAACTTAAATAAAAAAAGATTGGCATAAAATGTTCATCTGGAAATCATTTTATCAGGTTGTCACCATTAACCAGTACAATCCACCATTGTTTGGAAATCTCAATCAATATTAGAGAAGTTATACTCTTTTAACGGATAAAAATCTGATTTTGTGTATGTTACTACAATTCAGAAACATTTTCCCCGTCTTAAAACACATGCTGAAACTTAAGAGAGAGACAGCAAAGCCTGGATGGAAACCAGCTTCCATTAACTTGCATGGACAAGTTTGGACAACAGACCAAGAAAACCCATCTTAATTGGCCACTAAAGGCGGCACTGATGATTTCTCATGTCCTTACTTAAATTGCTATGACTATAGGCTGGCCCAGGTCAAGCCTAGGTTGTCAGAAATTAGTGTTCTAGCTGATTTCAGTTCTTCATGTTTATAGTTGCCTTTTATTCTTCCTCAGCGTTTCATCAATAGATGTGGAGGCTGCATTTTTCACTCAAACAAAAAATTCACAGAATACCACTAACCAACCTCACTCATTATTGTAATACTGTAATGATCATACACACCTGGCTACAGATGATTGTGTGGTATGCCTCAAGATCCGGAAATATGTCTCAAATACAGCAGAAAGTGTCTCAGATTGCATCTTCTTCCGTTCCTCAACATCTGGAGTATAAGCAACAGCTTTATAATCTGCAGCAACCTGGGCAAAGAATTCAAACATTGATGCTGTGACAATTACAACAAGAAAGATAAATAAAACATCAAGAAGTTCTGCAATTGTGGTGATATTTACCTCTTCCTTCATCTTTGCCATCATTTCTCGCTTACCTTTCTTTCTGTCATTTCCTTGTATTTGATTTGTCTCCTCAATATTCTTTCTCTTTTTATTTTTCTTGTTCTTCATTTTATTATTACCTACTTGAACTTCAGGCTTCCCAAGATCCTCATCAAATGACAAAGACATCAAAACCTGAAAAAGTATTGAAAATTAGAAAAAAAAAAAAGAAGAAAAACAATGATATTAAGAACAACAACAGACACAGTTAGACCAGAAGTACAAATCATGTATATAACAAAGGGAACATTTCTAGCAAAGAAATCATCCTGCCTTCCAATTATCAGTAGCTAATTTGATCTACTACAAATTGGCAAAGTTATATTCACATTATATAATACTTCATCCTAGACTTATGTCAAATTGTGGCATATATCCATAAGTTTAAGCAACTACTTTCACTGAAAAGAGTCAACATATAAGAATCATGGCACAGGCATATTTCCAATTCTAATCACAGTAAAAGAATTACAGGGATTAAAGAGAATATATATAGGATTGAATAAAAACAGTGGGTTAAAATGCTTGGGAAAGATTCATTTACGCAATAATAGAGTATACATCCACAAAGATAAAAAAACTACTTCCTCTCAAAGATCTACTTACATGCCGATCATGACTTGATGTCAGATACGCCAGTTGAAAACTGATGATGACATATCCCACATCTTATTGACATCTTAAAAATAAACATGCAAAATGCAATCTAAAGTCTTCAGTTGCTGTAACTTCAATTTGAATTGTCTATAGCAACTTCAAACACCTTTTATATGAGAAAGAGGTGGACAAGCAAAGAGGAAAAGGAACTTCAATGAAGTTATGTGTCTTCTATGGCAAGGTTTTGCAGTTCCATTGTAGAAGATCCACCATAGTCTTTACTTAGGAAGATAAAGGAGATAAAAACAGATTCCAATCATGCCAATGAGTTTAGCTTACCAACATTGCACAAAAAGCAAAGTGTATACTTAAAGAAACATAAATGCAGTGTGAAATAGGAGGGTTTTAGGATTAGACAACACCTCAACAGAATCAGGATGCAGTTGACAATCATGAGCTTTCACATGATCTGCAATCAGCCGAACGGCCTCAACAGTAGCTTCACCACCGTGTTTCCCCTCATTGGTAAAAAGAGACTTAATAGTTGCACAGCAAAGTCTCCTGTCAACAAGGAGTAGGTAATTTGGTTGGACAAGACAAAAGCAACAGAAAAAATTAAAAAATAAACCTTCTGCAATCATCACCGAAGCAACTATTCTGGCAAGTTCTGAGGAGGGAAGAGAGGAATTACAATCCAATGTGATACAGGAATCTGCACTTAACTATGGTGGAGAACATAATACTATTGTCTTTCATTGATGATAAAAGTTGCATGTGTCTGAAATAAATGAAACAATACTGTAGTCTATTTCACAATTTGCAGGGAGTTAGTTGTTTGGAAAGAATTAACAGGTTAGCACAATGGCTGAGTAGCAGCCAAGTATCAGGGGGAGCTTTCTTTAAAAGAAAGCCACAGGGCAATTCCCATTCCTCTATGCATGAGATGATCAAAGGTAAAGGCTGGATAATAGAACTAAGCTTCTTTACTACAAGCTCAAGATAAATTGATAAGGTCGAACGAAATTATCATCTTGTTTATCCTTTGATTTCTCTTTTGAATATGTTTCAAACACCACTTTTTTAAGTTTATTTTTTGAAGTTATTTTATTCAAAGATTCATTTTGAATAATAAGATTAAAATAAAGCCTAACCTCTATCCTCTCTTACTGTTAATCAGTTAGGCAATGGTAATGTCTTAAGTAAAATACCCAATAGATTTTTCCTTTTATGTTTTTTAAAGGCAATCCATATATTGATGAGCATATTAATGTCTAATGACTTGAAAAGATGAAATGTTATGATGATGAAGGTAGTGATAGGAAGGCAATGAGGTGAAACAAAGAGGGCAGTGGTGGCAGCTGAAGAACAGATTAGAGCTGAGACACCACCAGCAATTCATGATACTGATGCAGCAGAGGAATAAGAGGATAGAAACATCTAGTAATTAAGTTAAAGAAATGTTTTAATACTTGTTCTCTGTTTCAAAAGCAAAAGCACCAAAAGAGGGTTAAGTAAATGACTTTCCAGTCAAGTTACTAATTCAATTAACTAGGACAAAGAAGCAGAAAAGATGAAATGTTACGATGATGATGGTGGTGATAGGAAGGCAATAAGGTGACAGGAAGAGGGCAGTGGTGGCAGTTGAAGAACTGATTAAAGCTGAGACACCACCAGCAATTCATGATTGTGATGCAACAGAGAAATGATAGGATAGAAACATCTAGTAATTAAGTTAAAAGGGATGTTTTAATACTTGTTTCTCTGTTTCGAAAGCATAAGCAGCAAAAGAAGGTCAAGTACTAACTAAATGACTCTCCAGCCAAGTTACCATTTCAATTTGCTGGGACAAAGCAGCAGAAAAGATGCAGTGGTGAATAGGTTCCATGTCCCGATCTTACCAATATCGAAAATAATAATTAATTTTTTACGATGAAAAGAAGAAAGAAGAATGTAAAGTATCTATGTCTCAATGCCTTCAATCTTAAAGAGTCTCAAGATAAAAAATTTTAGAATGATGTAAAGTAGAAGACCAATTAGCAACAGGCCAAGTGAGTAATGAAGGCCATACATCATAGAAGCCAACTAAACACACTACATAAGAGTATTCAATTGCCTTTATTAAAGTTGACATACCAATCCAAAGATTGCTAAAGTAAATAGCTAAAAAAGAATGTTGACATCGAATCAAATTTTCACTTTCCTCTACAACAGTTTTAAGTCATTGACTAAGTATTTCAATCTCCTAAAGCAGGGTTTTGGAATCTCATAAAACATATAGGTTGACCTTTCTATCAATTTTACAATTGTCAGCACACTGCTTCAATTTGGATTTTAACTGTGGAGACCAACCTCAAATTATACTTATATTTTAAAATTCCAATTATTAATGTCAATCTTTAAAAGGCCCTCAACAGTTTACTGAACAATGCTTTAACATTTCAAAGCACATGAACACAGTATACCTTACAACATCATCTGAGGAGCCTATATTTCTGACAACAGCACCTAACAAGCTTTCACGGAAGTTGAAGTGAGGAACAGCATCGAGCAAAGTACAAATACAACGAACCACAACATGATGAAATATGGGCTGTTTGTCTAATGCTAGCAACTTCTGAAGGTATCCCTGTTGCACCCAGAAATAAAATGAAGGAGAAGGAACTAAGAGATGAAATCCATCATAATAATGTCTCGAACTAACAATAAACTGAAGTGAAGTAAAAAACATAAAGACATCAGTAGGAATCCTATAAAACCAGATAACAACCTCTTTAGGAAGGAGGAATTTCTACAAGCAGACAAATTTTACCATTGGACTCTGGCATAATTGAAAAGTCAATTCAACCAATACAACACATAATTTATCTTCACAAGATAAATCCAATACTTCTAAAGTACATAACTTTGCTCATATTTGGTACTACACAATCTTTCCATATTCATGGATATAATATGGTTGAACAACTGTCTCCCAATTAAACCATGTTATAGACTTTCAGACGACAGCGCTCCTACGCAAAAGATGCGGTAGACATGGTATGCTAAATATACCTTATAAACCCTTCTATAATTGCTAATCAGTGAAATAGAATTCGCATACCATGCCAACTACACCCAAGAACTAGACTGAATTATATTCAAAATTTCAGAATAGCGGTCTTATAAAGATAGCAGTTCAAACCTTGTATGCTGATAGAAGAGTTGATTCATAGAACCGCATTTTCTTAACTTCTTTGGAAACTTTCATTTCTAGCTCTTTTTCAGTAGGAAGCCTAATCCGGTAGCTGTATTTGCACATTAAAAAGTTGAGTAAAAACACTAATACAATGCAGTGAAAAGGAAAATGAATTACAAAATAAATAAAGTGGCAGTGAAAAATAAAAGAAATGATGAGTACCCAGGAATAATGTCTTTGAAGACTGCCAGCAAGGACAGCAGGCCAAGCTTTACAATAGAATGATCACCATCTTTCGCGAATTGCAACATCTCTTTCAGAGACTTAATATTTGACTCTGGGTCAGCAAGTAGTGCCATTCCAAGCTCAGCTAGCTTGCACTTTTTGGTTTCAAATGTTTCCTCCACCATGAGGTCTTCTTTCACCTCTGCCTAAACAAAGAGCACTGTTTGAACATTGAAGATAATGACTGGAGCATGAGAATATAGTATCTAATCCCCATTGTCAATGCTAGAAGGTAAGAACAAATGCAAACAATCCATAAGCAGGATTTGGCATAAGTAACAGCATATACAATTAGATCGAGGGGAAAATTCTCCATTTATGAATTACAACTGAAACAAGGAAAATTCAGAACATCGCCGCAAGAAGCTTGAGAGTATAAGTACAATGAATCTATGCAAACTTAAAGAACAAAACATGATGTTCTAGAAAATAAGTACAACAGAAAGTAAGATTTCCACCTCCCAAAAAATTACAATACTATTTAAAGCAGATAGAAAAGCAAGAGAAAAGCATCTTTGCACCATATTAAATATGTAGAGAAGGGAAACCCTTCTAAGATGAATACCTAAACAGGTATATATAGGTACTGACAAACCCCTCCTTTAAATTTGCAGATTCAGTACAGAGATGGTTTCCATTAGATTCAAGTAAAATTGTGATATTTGGTGAGTGTTGCTAAAGCTTAAAGTAGTTTCTTCCCCCATATTATTCCCTTAATTATGGAAAGCTCAAAAAACCTGAATTACTAATCACAAGACAAGAACACCTTCCTTAAATACTTGAAATCTCCTTATCTAATGTAGGCCAAATTAAACCTTTCTGACATGGCAGCTCAAGGCTTCCACATATTTTCCCATCAAATCCTACCAATTAACTCCAAACATATAAGGTAATATGGTAATCTTGCTGACTCCAAGAAATACTAGCACCATAATTCTTAGCTTCAGGCCACTCTATTTTTCAAATCCCAATTGAGGTACCTTCCATTTCACAACAATTCTAAAAGCCTATTTTCTTGAATCGAAGCCCAGCACATAACCCAACTAGGGAAATTACTTGTATTCAACCTATATCATCCAGTTTAAAATAATACTTGTATGCATCCATAGTGTACGAACTGTTCACCCCCCTCTTTTTGTCCATCTTGTTCCAGCAATTACAAGACAAAGGCATCAAAAAAATATAAGCATCAAAGTCAAGCTGCTGCCTTTTAATTCCTCGTGTTAACTCTTAAGATTAGCAATGCAGCATATAATAAAGTTTGCAAATGAGAAGAATGGAATTTAGGCTGGTTGATGGTTCTGATAGTCTGACAGGCCAGTGCTGCTCCAGTTTCATTTGGTGGTACATGACAGACAAAGTTTAAAGCATGTAATAAACCTTCTCTATACGTAATAATCCTGCTACATCCATAAAGCTCAACAATGATGGTCTATTAACATGCATAGTGTTTTACTATGATTGAAAACACTAAGAGGGAAATTAAGCTGATCATGTTTATCATCATCATGTGCAGAGTTTACCAAAAACTTTGGCCCTTTTATTCATAAAGGTTTCTATAAGAAAGATCACCAAACTTGTCTTAGATGAAAATGCAAAATTTAAAGTTCATTCTTTTCTTAAAAGAATATACCAGTACGGCTTCTTGTTGAGTTGGTTGCACTTCTTCAGTTTTAGCCAATTCCTTCCCTTGTTTCTTAGCCTCTTTCTTACTCCTTTTAAGCTTTGCCCTCCTTTCAGCTTTTGTCAGCTTAACTATGCTCTTATCTTCATTCCCTTCTTCATTTTCAGCTACTTCTGGTATCTGAGAAACTGCATTTCATAACAACATAAAGCATTTCATTCTCTCCATTCAATGGACGCACTTTCTTTAACAGCAAAGCAAGTAAAAATAATTTCCATTTTTCCTCTATTTTAAATGAAAGATAGATACATGTCCGGTAGTAGACTTCTCCATCCAAAGTCTTGACAGGAAGGGCATCAAGAGGATCAACTTGAACAACACTTTTTTCATTTTCTTTCTGCTCCAGTGCCTTCCTTCTTCGTTTCTCATATAAAGCTTCCAAAGCATCTTCAGACAAACCCTCCACCCGAGTGACTTGCCTACCCACAAGAGTAATTGTAATAAGTTGAGATTACAGAAATTTTCACTTCTATGCTTGCTTGCTACAGTCCAAACAATTTCCACTTAATAATTATTTTATTGTCGGTAACTAAGCTCTACATGAAAACAAAAACTGAATTTCAAAATTAGGGAAAATAAAGAAGAGGGAAAGAAGTAGCGTACCTGGTGATAGAATGAGTGTCCAAACGAGAGACGAAGCCAGCGTAGTCTGTGTTCTCGTCAACGAATTGGAGGTCCTCGTCGGAGACTTCAATTTCGTCCTCAGTTATTTCCGGCGGGAGTTCCGGCGGCAGAGTTACCTGCTTCCGCTGCTTGCCCTTGCTCTTCCCCATCGCGGATACCAAACGACACCGCAGTTCGAAAGTTTTATGGGTCTGCAGCAAGAAGAGGGGACTAGGGTTTAGGGTTTAAAGTTTTGAGTTTTGAGGGCACGCTCGGTTAAGCCCACTCATGGACTTAAAACATTATTAATTTGAGGAAATTGTGAGAAAAAAACTTCGGGTGATTTCAAAAATAATATCTCACATAAAGTTATTTGTTTTTAATCATTAAAAAACATGAGTAAATTAAAATATCTTTAAAAACATTGTGAGAAAAAGCTCTCGACATCTCCTTCCCATCAAAGAAAAAATAGAAATAAATGCTCAACTGTTTGAGGTCGCTCATATTTCTCTCTCAAGTCTTTGAACTGTATCAATTCTGTTAACTCTCTGTTAAGTATCATTATCTTCGGGTTGTTCAACTCTCTGAACTGTATAAGCTCTGTCAACTCCCTGTTGAGCACCATCGTCATTGTGCTGTGGTTTATCTCTCAGCATCTGGCCATATGTGTCGTCGATAAATAGACCCTATAGCAGAGATGATATCAATGTATGTTATTGGATTTATTGCTATAATAGATAAATTTTTAAAACTTGTTGTGTAAATTAGAACATGGATTACAAACATTGCCTAGAGTTATTACACGCCATGCATCCATAAAGCAGGTGGCGTGTAAAAAATATACTAAAATAACATGTGTCAGCACAGGGCGTGTAACACGTAGTGAACATGGCGTGTAACATGTAGTGAACATGGCGTGTAACAATTTTTGAACTTGCGTGTAACATTTTTGAGTATGACGTGTAGCATATTTGAAAAATGGCGTGTAATAACATGACAGACAAATTATAGAACGCGGCATGTAATGTGTAAAATGATTGACAAATTTGATGTTTTCAAAATTGAAGTGGGGTTCCAATTGTGCAACTTGTGATAAGACATGGTGGTCAATGGGTGGATGGCATTTACAAGGGTGGTGACTCACGAATGCAGGGGGTTAGGAGTGATTTGTCGTTTGAGGGCTTGAAGAAGCTGGTTGAAGAAGTTGTTGGGGTAAACTCAGAAATGGACGAGATTGAGTTACATGTATTGATCAATACACCTAGAGAGCTATCACGCCCAATTATCAAGGACGATGAAGATGTTGTATTAATTCTGCTAGAACAGAGGAATGTTCCGGCTGTGTATGTCAGCATTAAGGGACGCCAAAGAAATGTTATGTCATATCAAAAAGTTGAACAACATGGTAATCAGCTCAATCAAAATGAGATTTACAATGCTTCACACATACGACAACATTCGGTCTATAACCCACAACGATGGCAATTGATGTATGCAGAAGAGTTTGTGCAGCCTAGTAGAGAGACGACATTCACAGAACAGTTGGCTGCACAATTCCGATCAGGATGTGCATCGAACCAATTACTTGCTTCTATCCAACCAATGCAACAATCAAGTGAAACTGTAGAGGGTGTAATGGCATTTTCAAATGAGAATATCACACTTGAGGACAACACTGCAACGATAGAGGGTGACACTATGACGCTCAAGGATAATACTACATCTGATGAGGGAAATGAGGATTTGTTCCCTGCCGGTGAAGATAGATTTGATGGCAATTCAGATGATGGGTTTGATGACAGTTCAAACGATGATTGGCTTTATGATAATGACATTCCAATTTGCAATAATGTTGAAGGCGAAATTGAACCTGTTGGAGGTGTTGATGTAAGAGATGTATGGTGTGATGACCCCATATACAATAACCCTATCGCTGGTGAAAACGGGATTCGTTCCCCTAATACATTGCTAGATGACAATTATTAGGATACGAAAAATGCAGGGATATATCGTACGTGGGTAATTCTAGGTGCAGAGAGGTTCTCCTTCCAAACAGTTACCACTGAGGAGTCGAGATGTGCTAATGATCGCTTATACAAAGGAAGAATGTTTTCCTCGAAGGTCTAGTTGAAACGAGCTTTGAACATATTCGCTCTAAAAGAACATTTTGGGATAAGAGTAAAATGGTCATGTAAAGGTCGTTATGAGGTTGGTTGTGAGGACAAGGCATGCAAGTTCGGTGCGCGTACAACGAAGTTATTTGAAAGAGAATATTGGCAAGTTCGGACGTTCCACTAAGTACACACGTGTACTGTAGATGGTTTGCAAGGGCGATTCTCCACGGTGAGTGTGAAGATAATTAGTGAACTTATGTCACACAAGCTTAAGGCTAGTGGAGTAGCATTGAGACCTAAGGACATAATTGGTGAGATGAGGGTATAGTGGGGATTAGAATGCTTGTATGGTAAGGCATGGCAAGCGAAGGAGTATGCGAAAATCCTTGTTTTCGGTCCCCCGGAGGAGTAATTTCAACTATTACCCTCGTACTTTTATATGTTGGAAAAAGAAAATCTTGGTACAATCACTACAGTGGCTACTGATGAGGTAAAAAGATTCAAATATTGTTTCTAGTCATATGGGGCTTGTATTCGAGGGTTTAGGGATGTAATGCGTCCTACGGTTGCAGTTGATGCAACACATTTGAAAGGCAGATTCAAGGGTGTTCTGTTTGTTGCTGAATTCAAAAACACAAATGAGTGCATATATCTAGTTGCGTTTGGCATCAGCCATTTTAAGGACGAAGACTCGTGGACGTGGTTTCTTAGCAAGCTGCGTGATACAGTTGGTTGTCCTGAAAACACTATGTTCATTTCTGATCAGCATCTCGGCATTAAAAAAGTAATCTAAAATGCATACCCAGAAACGCATCACAATTTATGTGGTTACCACTTGAAGAAAAACTTTAAGAACAAGTTCAAGTGTGACAACCTTTCTATGATTTTCACCCTTGCTCAAGATTGCTATAAGGTATCCAATTTCAACAGACATATGAACCATCTCCAACAGATTCATGCAGGAGTCCACGCTGACCTTACGAAAATAGGCCCTGAGAGATGGGCATGTGCATGTTCACCAGCTAGGCGATACCAACTCATGACATCTAACATTGCAGAATGTGTTAACTCATGCTTGAAGCATGCAAGAAAAATGCCAATCACTGTTTTGATCGAGTTCATTAGAGACATGTTCTAGCGTTGGTTCCATGACCAGTACGAGAGACTTGCCTACCCACAAAAGTAATTGTAATAAGTTGAGATTACAGAAATTTTCACTTCTATGCTTACTTGCTACAGTCCAAACAATTTTCACTTAATAATTATTTTATTGTCTGTAACTAAGCTTTACATGAAAACAAAAACTAAATTCCAAAATTAAGGAAAATAAAGAAGAGGGAAAAAAGTAGCATACTTGGTGATAGAATGAGTGTCCAAATGAGAGACAAAGCCAGCGTAGTCTGTGTTCTTGTCAACGAATTGGACGTCCTCATCGAAGACTTCAATTTCATCCTCAGTTATTTCCGACGGGAGTTCCGGCGGGACATCTATGCAAAGGGGCACCACTCTAGTTCTTTAAATACTTACAATTAATTATTTTTATGATTTAGCTTGCAAATATAGGTTATCCAGCTACCTTTTTAATTGAAATTAAATTATTGTTAATTTTATATTAAAACCCCATTCTCTTATTCTTTAGTTTTTTTTAGAACAATTTTAGAATAATTCGTATCTATCAAACTAAATAGAAAATTTTCTTACATTAAGAATATAAATTTCACACAATTAAAATAAAATGTTAGTGTTAAAAAAATAACATTCTTTTTAAATTTAATGTAAACACATAAGAATAAAAATAAAAATGCATAATACATTTGACATACAATGTATTAAAAATGTCCTAATTAATTAACATAAATTATAATGATTTTAAACGTAATAAAAGATAACAATAAGAATAAATTTATTACAATTTAATGTAAATAAGTAAGATGTAAGGTGAGGTAAAAATTAATCTTTTTAAAATCGTAACATAAATAAGTAAAAACAAAAGTATAAGATGTCACCATGTATGTGGGCTTGGAATTTGGCTTTGAGAGCATCCTTAGATGGCTCATTTTACCTCCTTTTGATCTTGTCTTCTTGGGCTTGTAGTATACCTTTTAATTTTTCAACTTTTATGCAATTTAAATTATTTAGACTCCTCGATAACACAAAACACATAATCAACATTTGAAGTCAAGGAACGAAGGATCTTCTTATCACATGGACATCTTCAATATTCTCTCCATAACTCTTCAATTGATTAGCAATATCTTTTACCCTTGAAAAATATGTTGGTATATGCCCTTGAGTCAATTAGATTAATCAAGGAATATATATTGTCATTTAATGCATATTTAATTGCATAATTATATGTGACAAAGGTTTTCCTTCATGTTAGTAATAATAAGGAGTTATTAAGTACTAATTGGATAAAGTCCATGGAATATAAAAGCCTTGTAAGAGAATTATAAAGTTGTTATAATTATGAGATCACTATGCATCAAAGCTATATTCCTAAAATTGTTCCTGATCATTGTATTGTCAAGATAGGGTATTGACAATGCTCAAAGATTGATACATGTTAAGCCTCCTTATTTGGAAAGTAAGCAATTGATCTTATAGATTGAAGTGTATGGGATACTTGAGGATAATGTGCAGGTGCTTCTTAAAGAACAAGGTCACTAAACATGACCCACTATAAGAACTCTATTTGGTATTTCACTCAAGTGTCTATAGAAAATATTCTCATGTGATAGTTGTGTAATTAGTCCTTAAATTTGAGACACCAAGTTATCTTGTATAGGGAATAACATACTTTGATTTCATCCCTATGGGTTTGGAAGCAATCAAATGTCTAAACAAGGTGGTTTTAGGTATGCCATGAAGCATGCGAAGGTGAATGAGTGGTCAAGAGAGGATTCATCACTCCAAGTGATATGAGGGGATGTATCTCACTTGTTCTTAATTCTTGATTAATTTATATAAAGTATTTGGTCAAAGCATGATGAATTTGAGAAAAATTAGTTTCCTAAATTCATAAGGTTAATTATGAATTATGAGAACTAATATGAAATGTCATAAGTAGACATCGAGCCATGGTTAATAACATATCCGGGATATTTGATGAAAGGATCGTATTGCACTAAGAGGTTTATCACTGAAGGGCTTTGTCTAATTCTTTAATTGAGTCTCTAACATTT